GCGTTCCGACGCCTACCAGATGCGGAACTGCCCACAAACGTACCCCCGCGACACATCGTGAATGGCTGCGAAGCCCCGCGCGCCGGTGCGAGGCTCGAGACGACCCCACATGCCAGATCCGAGATCCCACAGAGCGGACCGTGCCCAGTATCTGCGCCAGCCTCGGGAGCGCATCGCAGGGTGGCGACGCGGAGTTTCGTATACTCCTGAGCTTGCCTGCAAGTTTGTCGTAACGTTCGATCACGCCGCGGCCTCGCCAGAGTCTCGTACGGCGGACCGAAGGGCGGTGTCACTCGTCCCCAAAGGCGAGGTCGACCCAGGCTGCCACCACGGTCCAGGACTCCCCTCACGCCTCGTGCGCGCAGGAGACTGCACGAGCTTGTTGCAGACTGCGTGAGCTCGTGACAGAAGCTGCGCGCGCGTCGCCACCCCGTGCGTGAAGGCCGCGAGTCTGTGTATCGGACCTGAGCCTCCGACGAAAGGAAACAAAACAACGACGACGCGGTACGCACCGTAGCTCTCTCGCGAAGCTCGTAGCACGCCTGTGCGCGTCTGCAACGCGTCCAATGCACGCAGGCCGCCATCACCGCGACGCGCCGCCTCTGCCGATCCACAAGTCCGCCACCCGATAATTTCAGTCCGCCCGCCCTCCGTCGAATTTCAAACCCCTCCGACGCGCTCAGAAACAGCGGGGCGTGGTACGGGCGCTGCCATGGAACATCCCTGCTAAGTTACGCGGCGCCAGGGGACGGGAGCGCCGCGGGACGCGCGATATTCCGCCTCCCGACGGGTTTCGCCCATGAAATCGGCCGAAACGGCGCGATTTCGACCTCGCCGGATGACGGCGTGACGCCGCACGTGCATGCGCCCGGGTGCATGGGAGCGCGGTGTCGCAATTGGGAGGCCCGCGAGGCCGCCGGTGGGGCGCGAGATGCGCGGCATGGATGTGGGCCTGGCCGAGCAGCCGGCGGGGTCGTGCGTTGCTGGCGTCCGCGCGACGCGGATGGGTGGCCCTGAGGATGTCGTACATGGGGCTGGGACGCGGGGCCGGGTGTCGTGGCGGGGACGACGTGCGTTTCTGCGTGCGGGACGTGTGGAACGCGAGACAGTCAGCGTGGCTCGCGTGCGCAGAGACCGGGAGAGCACCGACGCAGACGCAGGGCGCGCCGCTGCGGGATGTAGTGGTTCGGTACGTGTCTCGCGCCATCTTGGGAGCTGGAGCGTGTTCGCAGACGTTCCGCTGCGAAAGAGCTGGATTTCGACGCCTGTGTGTGCTTGAACGGGGTGGGAAGGCGAGAATGACGATGTACCGCCGTACTATGTGTGTGCGGAGCCTTGTGGTGTGTGCAGACGCGTCAGCGTAAGGACTCGAAGTGTATGTACCCCAGGCGACTTGCATGGCATGCGGGACGATCCTGGGTGGTCTATGAGCTGCAGTGTCGGCGTGCAAGCTCTTGCTTGTGCCTGTCGTCCTTTGGACGTCCCATCGCGCTATATTGTACACGAGAGCACCGTATGTACACTGCAGACCTGCGAGCTGCTATCAGCGAGACGCACAGCGCGAGCTTGAGTGGGCACTCGCAAGACCGCTGGCTGCCCTCGCCATCGCCATGATCGCGTGCCCGCCCCGTCCGACATAGCGATGGCGGAATGCAATGCGGCGGGGCGCGCACACCTCTTTTGAGCTCTCTGCGGGCGTGCAGCAGGGCGCACACCGCCCCGGTGTATGGTGCATGGTGCATGGATCGCTAGGGATGCGCGGCGCACGGTACTCGTCGTCGCACAGACCTGGGGCGTCGAGTGAGATCACGAAGGATGTATCCTGCCGGCGCGGGACGTCGGCACGGCGGTCTATTACGGTACACGATGGGACACGGCGCAAACGCGCAGAACGTCTGGGGCGGCGCAGACGAGCCACTTCACGCCGCAGCTGTCCGTCTCCTCCAGTGGACCGTGACGCTGTCCAGGGGCGACGTGCTCGCACAGCGTTCCCCAGGATGCGCCTCACGACGTGCACGGCGAGCGAGCATGAGTGCGTGCGTCGGGATGCACGCACGTACAGTGCCGTGAACGTTCCCCATCGTCGTATCGGGGGCGGGCGGACGTGTCCCGCACTCGACAGGTACGCCGTCTCCAGCCCAGGGCGCGTTGTCCACCTCGCTGACTCACTGCTGGCGCACCAGACTCTGCGGCCACGCCGCAACGCGCGTAATACGCACGGGTTGCACACGACCGAAACACGACACTCACCCTCACCGATCTGGCGGCCGGCGTCCAGGGGCGTGCTTAGCGCGGTAGCCTGGGAGACCCGCACCGCGTCGGCAAATCCGCGCGTCCGCGCACCGCAGCCGGGTTTGGGGTGTCCGCGATGCGCCGCGTCCGTGCATGCGAGGGTGGGTGGGCGAGCGAGCGAGCGGGGGTGACCTGCCCGGAAGCGGGGGCGTATAAGAGCGGTGCGGACAGGGCGAGGGGCAGCCATCTCCCCTCCTCCCGTTCGCCCTGCTCTCTCGCTCTGGAAGGACTTGCCCTGTGGTCGTGCGTCGTAGATGTCGCTCCCGGGGTGGTTCTGCTCATTCTCTGGCACCGTCTCGTCTTCGCTGTGCGTCGTAGACGGGCTAGCCCTGCTGGTGCACCCGTTGGGCTGACTCGGTGAGTGCTGCATCCGCCTCGACGTGCATAGCCGTTTGCTTACCTTTATGTATACAGGGCGAGGGTGCTGCGGGAACGGAGCTGATGGGGTTCACGCGGGAGGAGGGTGCGGTCGATAGCGTGGGTATGTTGGTCAAGGTACAGTGGCAGTCGCGGGTTCCGACTCGTGTTATGTAGTGTAGAGCTAGCGTACTGCGTGTCAATACCACATCGTTTCGTTCAAATGATGCGGAGACTCACCCGCGGCCCAGTACGGTTGCTGACAGCGCTTGTGAGCCATCTGCACGTCGTGGACGTCTGTATGCGACTGTGCGTCGCCCCAGTAAGTGTTGGAGCGTAATGTAAGCGGCGACGGTACGATTTGGCTGGGTAGCATACTGGAAAGCGACGTTGTGAGTGTCGAGCTCGCTTGTATGCGCCTGCAACCGAGATTGGATGATCGCCGGAGGGAGCGTTGAATGAGTACGAACGTGCATGCATAGAAGTGATGACGCACGCTGCGCGCGAGGCCATGGCACACCAGAAGGCGCCAGAGGGCGGGTGTATGCGCGTCGTCCACGAGCGCCTTAACTGTCAGACGACTGGCTGCAGCGACAGGCAAGGGAGGAGTCGCGGTGGGGAGTCGCGCGTGTGCGTGTGCGCTAGGACTAGCACCGTTCAGTCGCTCGCTAGGACCAGCACCGTTCAGTCGCTCGCTAGGCCTGCGCACGACGAGACAGCGCGGCAGACGGTTTCGAGCAGGGGCCAGCGAGAACACGAGCGACGGGCGAGGGGAAGCGCACGACGCGTGTCGTCATCGATCGAGCCAGCCAAGCCCGAGTCCGAGTCGCGAGTCGCGTCGCTCCCGCGGGGGGGCCGGACAGAAGGAGAGATGAGAGGGACGAGTACGCGTTCACTCACACGGCGCCGGCAATGCGCGTTGCACAGCCACATATACCCGTACCCCGCGAAAGTCGGAGCCCAGCTTCCGGACCAACCTCCTCCTGCCTTTTTGTCAGCAACTGTGGACATGCGATTTGGGCTATCATTTGCCGGCACGAACGGACATACCAGGTCGTATATCGAGGATCCCGAAAAGCAAGTAGATTGGTCGTACTTATGTACGGAGTTGCGCAGCTCGACCGACTCGGCGTTCTCGATGAGCCTACTCCAACGTCGCAGCGCTTACAAATTTCACTTTTGACGTGGCGATCTACGAGCTTTCTCGTGTTAATTCCAAGGTACGTACAATGGTACAATTTGGGCACTACATCACATCTGCTCTAACCTTCGAAAGCATCCGGCAGACATTAGGTACTGCGTTCGTGTTGTGACCAGCCCACTTGCAGCCCACATAAACACGGTGCTCCCAGAGCCATGTCATCTATCTGCAAGACCTGATCTGTAACAAGCCTAGGCGAATCGCTCAACTCTTCCTGAGAATGCTCGACGATGCAAACCAAGATGTTTTGAGCTCTGAGCTCTAAGTGCGAGGACGGTCGTCAAGTACCGCTGTATGGAGACGCGCAAGATACCGTCTTCAAGATACCCGCCTGTGAGTTTTACGCCAGCCCCCTGCTCGAAACTGTTCTCCCAACCCGGCTCGCCGTGAGCATGCCGTTCACAGTGATGAGCGCGCCAAAATATTCGCTTACGACTGCACGCATTTTGAGCCATTCAAACGGCAGAAATATGGTAGGCGCCAGGAAGTCACGTACGGAACGCCACCCCGGTGTGTCGTTTCCGTGCACCATTTCGCGTCTGAACTGCTCACGGTTTTGCATTGCATCAGTACGCCGCCGTCATAATCTGAGCACGTCGCGGCTACGCGCACCTTTGGTGTCTTGGACATGCGATGTACTGATAGTCCCCTTTGGCATCTAGGCAGCGTCCTCGAGCTTCAGTTGCGCACGATTGATGATCGCTATACCTTTGAAGGCACAGAGAGCTACACCCGCTGGAACCGACTACTTCCTCCGGCCAGCCCCATGCAGCGCACTGTGCGGCACCTCGAATATCTATGGGCGACGCCGCGCAAGGATGTTCGATTGTCACGACAGTGGGCCTATTCGCAAATTCCACCATGTGTCAGTTGCAGTACTTGTGTGCGAGCGATGCAGAATAGAACACTGGCGTATTCCAAGACGAACGCAACAGTGAATACTGTGCGTTCGAGTCCCAACCTGCATGCAAGTTGTTGGTGGTACGAGAGAAGAGCGATGCCAGCGGAAGCGCCCGTGTTCACTGCCCACTCCCGATTATGATCTGCACTCTCCCTCCAAGAAGCCCCATGGTATAACATTGCACGGTCCCGATGATACAAACAACAGCAAGATAATGATATATACTCCCGGTACATCTCGTGTCACTGCTCAAGCGCCATACTCCGGAGGAGGCACATCGGTGCCATACACCGACTGCCGTGGCGGACGCGTGGCCATGCGCTCCGCGAGGAGGTGTATGATCCTGTCCACCGTGGCGTTGGGATCGGGACTCGACTCCGCCGGGGACGAGGCGTGCGTCATCGTCGGCGAGGCCACCGCAGCCGCCTGCGCGGCGGAGCCATGCGCAAGAGAGTGATCGGAGACCGTGCGCCCGGACTCAGACGGCGCGGACGATGACGCAGAACCAGAGGGGAGCGCGGGCAGGGCGCGTGTTTGGGACGGTACATAGCCGTCCGAGCCGATCGCCAGTATGGGCAGCTTCGTGTCGCCTCGGGGTGGCGTATATGGGCCGCGCTGCGTCGGGACAAACGGGCTCGCCTCCGCCATGGGGGCGGCGGTGGAGGGCGTGGCGAGGAACGGGGATGGCTGTTCGCGGTCGAACACTTTCGGGTTCTGCCGCCTGCGGCGAGCGAAGTACCAGAGGAGCCCGGCGACGAGAGCGACGAAGGCGAGGCCACCGATGACACCACCCGCGATGGCGCCAGTATTCGTCTTTGAGTGTCCCGCGGTGGAAGGGGCGTCGGATGTTGTGCCCCCTAATGGCTGAGTGCTAGAGGAGGGCGCACTAGAGGAAACACTTAAGACACGCAGCTCTCATTGGCAAGACTCGTGCATGCGGCATACCTGATAAGTCCGCCAACTTCTGAAGGATTATCGGTAAAGACAGTGACTGTGTTCAGCCAGAACTTGAGGCCAGCGCCGACGGTAGGCAGAACGTTGATGGTGTGGGTCTTGGTGGGATCCAGCCCGTCCTGATAGTACAGGAGCGCGTCTCCGATGAACCACATCGTGCTCGCGTTGTAGGTGACTGCCGCTTGGTCGTCGAGGGTCTGCAAAAACCGCGGGTCGGCACTTCGCGCGCCAGAGATCGTAGAGGAAGACTCACGACGTCGTACGCATAGCTGCCCCAGATGCGCGAGCCGTTGATCGCGACACCTACGCCCTGGAAGGAGAAAGAAAATGAGGCCGGGGCGTTCTCGACCTCGAAGTAAGGAGCGGGATGTTGCTGATTGGGGATGGGGGGGTCGTAGGGCAGCCAGATGCCGCTGCTCGTCCGGAGGTTCAAGCGCGCCCAGTGATGCGGTCGCGGCGGGCGTTCGGTAGACACGTGCCGTGTAAGCGCTGTAATATATTTGTGCAGCGTCGAATGTACCGGAGAGAACAGATTGGTAAGGGAGGGGAGTAGGGCTATATGCACAGTGCGGTGGGGTGTATACACAGTGCGGTGGGGCCGCACAAGGAGAGACACGCGCGCGGGACTTGGGAAACGTGGTCGCGCGATCGGGCGTCTAAAGAGCGCACAGCGTACGGGGCGCGGCAACGCGCTCTCTGCTTTCGACCATGATGTGCTACTGCTATGTACATCTACGACATACGATCCTCGCGCCTCGCCTGCACCTCTGTTGCACGCGACGCCCCGTCCACTCGCTGCGTCGTCTCCCCTCTGCTGGTGGCTCGGATGCGTTCGCGCGGACTCTGCCTCTTCGACCGGCGCGAAAGAAGACTGTGGGTCCGTACGACGTGCTGCGACTGCATGGAACCCCTGGAGATGATCAGCCGTGCTCAGACACGCTGACAAGGTATGTGCGTACCTGGGGATGGGACCGTGGCTGCGGCCGTTCACGCGCACGAGCTGCCAGCTTAGGCGCTGATATTGACATGACCATCGACGGTGCGTCTCTCGACTTTCGCGGCCGGCTCTCTTCTCTTCTGCGCCCCCTTCCCCTTCGCCTGTCCCGGCCCGCGCACGCCTCCCGGTCCGTCTCGCCCGTCCTGGCAAGTCGAGACGAGAATCGAAAGGTGCGCACCGTCTTTCGCGATCCCAGCCTCGCCCCGCGCCCTGCCCTCGCCCTCCTCTACTCCCTCTCTGCGCAGCCCCCCGCATGCGGCCCGCCCACGGCCTCCGGCCCGTTCTGCAACCCAAGGTGAGTGGGCCAGAAGGTACGTACCACAAATACTCTCCCTGCACGATGTGTCGCCTCTCCCGCCCGCTTCACCCGGCAACCGACTATATGCGTGATTTTGAGCGTGCATCGTAAGCCGCCTACCGCCACGACCCCGATGGACGTTTGCCGCGCCCTCCTGAGTCCACGCCCGTACCATGTCCCGTCTCGGCGCACGTACCGTCGACGCGTCGCGAGATCCGCGATCCGCGCGCACGACCGCGTACCTCTCGCCTCTGTCGCTGCACAGCCGCAGTGGTACCGTGTTGGCTCCGCGGCGCCGACACGCATCAGGCGCCATGCGGAACCGCCTGCGCCCGAGCTCGGTGACCCCGCGCTGACTTTGCCCTCAGTTTCTTCTGCCCAGCTACTCCCCGCGTCGGACACGGGATCGCGACGTAGTTGACATGCCGGCAGCCGAGGCTGTCTGTGGGACTCGGTTAGTGAGCATCTCGTAGGTGTGAAGATGGCACACACCGGTGTGCGCGACCATACACGACCGCATCCTTAGATGTGGAGGGGGAGCGGTCGACTCGTTTGTGATGGTAGCGGGAAACATACATGTTGTAGCGGGGTATGCGCGACCGTTCGCGCGATGTTCCATGGCCGCATCTCTTGTGCGCGCGATGTTGCTCGAACGTCACTCCGCCTCTTGAGCGACTCACATCAGCGAAAACTCGCACCGTTCGCACGTTGTGTCGGACGTACCGTATGACTAGGCGTGGGATGCAAGAGGTGCCTCGCGATGTTTGATTCACGGGCGTGCGGTGTGGAGTATGAGTGGCGACGACATGTACCGTGTCTCGTTTCTGTATGCCCTGTAAATGTCTCCGTGCCTAGAGCTACAAAATAACATAGACATACCTCCAGATCTATCTACTGCTGCCAGTGTCCATGTTGGGTGCACCACTCTCGCTCCTCGTTGTCGATGCTTTTGTCGCACAGAGCACCTTACATCTTTGTCTTGCAGAGAAGGTGATCAGGCGGGAGAAGCGGGAGAGATGGATAGGATGGGGAGGGGGAGAGGGAGGGGGGCAGGAGAGACTTCCTAAGCGACCCACCTGTATCTACCATGTCAAGTTGAGCGTGAGAGGGATGCGGGACCTTACGTCTAAGTGTGACCAATCGGGCTGGCAACCCGCCTCAAGTCTGCAATTTTCTGATGCGCATTTGTGCCGAAAGGAGGCATACTTGGCCAGATACACACACTCGCTTATGTTGGCTGGATATCACTCGGCTTACAGAAATGCCGCGCTGCTCAGGCTCCCTCACGAGCAGCCACAATCTGAGCAAGGTGGGTAAACACCTCGAAGAGCAGGTACTCTGCTCTTCGGAATATTCACCCGACCCGCACACTTGGGGCTGGAAACGACCTTCAACACTCATCCGGACATCTCGGACACTACGTGATTTGTTTCCGCTGCCCTCGCGCACAATCAATCCAGTTCCTCCCGCCGTCTGGGCCCTGGGTCTCGATCTGTAGTTGCCATCGGTATGCCGCACAGTTCTGCG